AAAAAGTCACGCTGGAGTATAAATTAAAGAAAGAAAGAAAGAGCGGTCAATTTCTATGACCATACAAGGCAACATCACCCTCCGGTCCGGGACTTTTAAAGACCGTTGGACTCGGATCCTGGTGCCGGCCAAAACTCTGGGGAGGAATTCTTAGCTGGTTACAGTACAGAGACGGAGGAGCTTCTTCTTCTACTGCGTGAAGGATGGAGGGACTGAGGTCAAAGGTTAACAGGGTGAGAGTGGAGAGAACATAATATAAATGTGCAGGATGACAGACGGACCAGAGCTGCACCAGTCAACAATAAGGTGGCTCAACCTCTGGTCTTTTTCCATATTAAAAATTCCATCATTTTGATGAAGCAGGTGAATAAAACACACGGCTGTTTTTTGTCTTTCTGTTCCAGCGATGGTTGTGTTATATTTTGGATTGTTGATTAATCACGGTTGATTATGATCATGAATAATCATGATTCAGTAACAGCTCCTGGAAAACGTGACCTCGTACTAATGACTCGACCAACAGGAAGAGGCCGAGGCTCTGAGCTCATTCTGTATTTCTGTGCAGTTGAAAAAATGTCGTGTTAATGTTTTTCTTTTTAGCCTGAAGTTTTAAATCCTGACCTTTTTTGACCTCGTTGTGTCACGTGATGATTATGTTGTTTCTGCAACAAAAAAAAAACAAAAACCCTAAAAACCTGAGGGGTTCAAGTTCAACTCTGCTCCTCACTGAGAGTAAACTCTGACTTTGAACTGGAATCAAACCTCCGTCAGAGCTGTGACTGGTCTGAGTGAGTCCTCGTCCTCTGGACACTGGACACTGGACTGGACACTGGACGGGACTGGACACTGGACGGGACTGGACACTGGACACTGGACTGGAGTGGACACTGAACTGGACTGGACTGGCCACTGGACTCGGGACTCTGGACTGGACTGGAATGGACTGGACTGGACACCGGACTGGACGGGACACGGGACACTGGACTGGAGTGGACACTGAACTGGACTGGACTGGACGCTGGACACTGGACTGGAGTGGACACTGAACTGGACTGGACTGGAATGGACTGGACTGGACCCTGGGCTGGACTGGCCTGGACTGGACTGAACTGCCTCTGTTCACTCTGCTGTTGTTTTTCTACAACATGTTTCACACTTTAGAAAAAGGTGCAGACGCAGACACATCTGTGAAGTTCTGCTGCTGGGATTGGTCATAATCTTCATTGTCCAGATGAAACCACCATCATCATCATCATCATCATCATCATCATCATCATCATCATGTTTCTTCTTCTTTTTGGACTGGAGCACTGATCACATCTGTGAGAAATCTTCTCGGCCACAGATTTTTCCATGTTCCATTTATGAAGAGGAAGCGTGTGGTTGACAATAGCAGGAAGAGGAAACTTTTAAAGTTTGGCAGCAGCAGCAGCAGCAGCAGCAGCAGCGTTGATGGTTCAGTTGTCGTTTCACAGCCGTGGAGCCACCAACCACTCAGCTGGAGCTTCAGTGTTAAACTAACATATTTCTGTGTCTAACACGATGGCGTCACTGGTCCAGACTCTAGGGTTGAGTCCTGATGTCCTACTGACGACCTACTGTAGGAGGTCAGTCCATGGACTGTGACTTTAAGGCCAGTCTGTGTCACTGATCACTGACTCTGAGCTGTTACAGTGAACTTATCATGAAGTGTAAACAGTAACCATGGAGACGGACGTCAATACAGGACGGAGGTGTGAGTCAGAGAGAGGCTCATAAAACAGAGCAGGGTTCAAGGTTCTCCCATCAGCACTGGAGATGATGAAGATGATGATGATGATCATCCCTCATAACAGACACAGACAGATGGACTGGACAATAAACTCACAGTGTACACCCACAGTACTCCGTAGTACGTACAAAGTCCATGAGACATTAATTCACCAGTAGTTTTGATTCTGGGGGAAAAACTCACTGAAAAAATGTCTCAAGAAAAATGTTATTCACTGCAGTGTTTCCTGATTTTTTTTTCTCTACAGCGCCCCCTTCTGTAGACAGGACGAGGGCCAATAGTTTTGTTCCCCCTGGTGGGGTCTGCCCCCCAGTTTGGGAACCACCGGTAAAGCATACTTGTGGGCTGGTGACAAAAAAAAACCAAAAACAGTAACTGTCCACTTTGTTCTGTACTGTAGTACGTGTACTGTAGTACATGGACTGTAGTACACCAGTAGTAGATGGACGTGTACTGTAGTACGTGTACTGTAGTACATGGACTGTAGTACACCAGTAGTATCAGTACTTATTGACCGTATCAGGTTCCTCCATCTTCAGTGTTGACGCGGCGCTCAGAGACCGTGTTTGATCAGATGCTGTTCAAACAAACCTGACCTGACTTGACTTGACTTGACGTCCTCCGCTGCAGGCGTCACAAACAAGAACGGCTTCTGTTGCTGCAGAGTTTTCTGGAACCTCACATCTGCACTTCCACAGAAGAAAAACACAATCAAGATGTCTGGGCCTGTTGTAGTCGCCACGGCAACGGGGACTTCCTGGCAACGAGTGGGCGTGGCCCTGGACTCACCTTCAGACAAAGTTATTAATGAATACTGAGAGGTGGTTCACAGACGGTGGTTCACAGACGGTGGTTCACAGACGGTGGTTCACAGACGGTGGTTCACAGACGGCGACTGAAATGATGCCTTTTAGATTCAGAAGACGGATGAATGTTGACGTCACATGGTAGTTCAAAAAAACTGTATAAAGTCCTGATCATTTGGAGGTTTGAGTTTTGAGTTTTGAGGTTTGAGTTCTGTTTTTCACGTCCTCAGATCCTTTGGAGACACAGTGAGAGGATCAAAGGTCAACAGGTGAGGTCACGTGGTTTACCAGACACTGTTCAAACACTCAGTCCAACACCGAGGCTCCAATCTTTAAAAAGGAAGAGTGACCCCTACTGGACACTTGCACACTATGCACACCCTCCGTGGTGAGGAGTGCTGGTTCCTCCTTTCCTTCTGTCATCTTTGTGGTTTATTCTGGTTCTCAGTCCAAACTTGTTTATCATGGTCTGTCCTGTTATACCATGCTGTTAGATCAGTTGTTCTCAAAGTGGGGGGCGGGCCCCATTAGGGGGTGTTGAGCAGGAACTGGAGTATAACTGGTACTGCTGCTTGACCAGCCCACAGACGCTACGGTCTGGGTGAGGCTCTGATTCTGATTCTCCTGTCGACTGGAGCAGCTTCTGAACTCCAGGCCATAAAATACAGTCACTCTCTCCCGTTCTCCGTCTCCTCTCCACCCGCTCTGGAGGAATGTGGGCGGTGGCACGAGAGAGAGAGAGAGAGAGAGAGAGAGAGAACTGGCATCTGAAGCAGCTGAGGTAACAGGCCTGCAGTACTCTGTTGTAGGATGGAGTACTTCTAGGATGGAGTACGAGGTAACAGGCCTACAGTACTCTGTTGTAGGACGGAGTACTTCTAGGACGGAGTACTTCTAGGATGGAGTACTCCTGTGTATCAGTGGACCAGCAGTAAACCTTACATCAGTCCACTGTGTCGTGGAGCTCAGTGAACTCTTCACTCCTTCAACAGGAGCGCGGTGCAGAGTCAGGCAAAAAAAAAAAAAAGATGCAAATTCCAACCAAGACCTCGCCCTGCTTCACAACACGTCGTCTCCATGGTAACACAACAGGGTTCACTAATATCATATCTAAAGGAAGACGTGGTGGGGGGTGTGGGGTCAGGGTCGTGGGGGGGTCCAACCTGGTGACGATGAGCGTGTCCAGGTGATTCTGTCACAGCAGGTCGGGTCCAGTGAAGGAGGGGAAACAGCAGAGCTGCTCTGGGCTCAACGCCACGTCAGACAATGGAGCTCCTCACAGACGGAGCTTCCTTGAATTGTTTCCACTTGACGGAGGAAAACCCAGACCCTGAGCGGTGAGAATGTTTCCTTTTCCCCCAGGACCACGCTGATCCACATCACATCAGGGTTTGAACTGACACAGGAGGTTCAAACACCTTCTCCCAGGTTCTTCCAAACTCTAAGATTCTAATCTTTGGTCAGATGTGACAGTTTGGTTTGAAAGTTTTAGCTGCTTTTTTTACTGTAACCTTCTTGATATTTGGTGTTCTAACATGTGTTTGTGACTAGGTTTAAGTTATCATTTAATACAAGCTTGTCTGGAGTTAGTTTGTGACTAGGTTTAAGTTATCATTTCATCAACTGAGCCATAACTTCTCTTGTCTTCTCCCTATGACATCATCCTAAACCTGTAAAAAAAAAACTTTCTACAAAGCAATACTATTGACTAAGAATTGGGTTGAAATAAGCGACATATAAATGTATAGAAAGTGTCAAATTAATGAACTCGTTCACCTCGACATCCCTGACAGAAACAAAGCGTTAACGACAGCAGTTTCATTTCACAAACGTATTTATGGCCAAAAGAGGAGAAAGTTAAAGTGCAGTTCACTGAAAAAGAGGACGTTTTTGACACAAAATGACTGACAATATTCTGATGTCTCCTGATTGACAGTGTCAATTAGAAGGAGGGAAACAGGGGGCAGTACTGAGAGAGTATGGATGCCAACTATTACTGCCAGTCAACCAACCAATCAATCAATCAATCAACCAACCAATCAATCAATCAACCAACCAACCAGGGTTTTTCACAGTTCAACAAACCTGGGATTAATGGGTTAAAGTACAGTGAACGCTGCATCAGTTACAAGCTAAAGCTAAAGCTAAAGCTAAAGCTAAAGCTAAAGCTAAAGCTAAAGCTAAAGCTAAAGCTAAAGCTAAAGCTAAAGCTAAAGCTAAAGCTAACAGCTTTTCCTCATGGCAGATTTTGGTGTCGACTGATTAATGTAATATATTTTAAATATTATCAGTAAACCAAAGCCCTGACACCAGGATGTACAGTATATATATATATAAAAAAATCATATTTTTAGATTCCTAAAATTTAAAGAAGACAAGTAACATTAACTGTTTGGCCTCTGGTTCAGACTAGAAAATGAATGTTGTGTTGATGGTGATGGTTTATTCTCCCACACCAACGTATCAACGAATCAATGTTATGGAGCTGATATTTTTCTGGAATAAATATTCCAGTCAGAAAAGACAAGATAAACATAAATGTTCTATGACACATGGACCTGGTTGAACCTGATGTCGTAGATGGTTCAGTCCAATGTTCAGTGAACTGGGCCTGAGTATTTTGTAACGTTCATATTTGATGAGGTTTAAAGCAAAAGTAATAAAAAAAAAAGTTGGAACTGACCGACTCTGATCTGGATTAAAAAGTGCTGGAAGTTTGGACTTGAACAAAGATTTTCTTATTGCTGCGTGGAGAAGAACTGACATCAGTAGTTTCTTATCACCCAATCAGAAATGACTTCTTCAGCAGTAGATCAGTGCTAATACTTTTTCACAGGCAAAGAATTGAAAAAACAAATAAAGTCAGATTGTCGTCTCGGACTGAAACTCATGAGTAGAAAAATCACAGTAAAAAAAAAAAGAAAAAAAAAAGAGTGGATTGAAGAGACAGAGTTATCAATACTGTGATGGACAGAAAGAACCCACGTCCAAATCAGACGTCAGGTGTTCGGGTTCAGCCCAACCTGGTTCCGTGAGTAGGTTCAAAGGTCAGCGATGAGGAGCAGCAGTAGCAGGTTCCTACCACTAGGCCATGATTTTTTTCTTGCACTCCACGGAGCAGAAGAGAAAACTCTTGAGGGCCATGAAGCGCTGGCCCACCAGACACTTGGAACAACCGGAGCACTTGAAGCACTGTGGCTCAGCGTGCCAGTGGAACTCGCCGTAGGAAACCCTCTGGGCCTCGGGGTCCACTGCCTTTTGGCAGGAAGAGCAATTCTGCAGAGAAGGAGAATTTATCTTTTTACTGTCAAAACAATAACCTTTTTTTTCAAGAATCTCCTGATTCTCCTGTACCACTGAAAATGTAGAAAACAATAAGTTTTTTTTCAAGGCAGTATCTGATTCTCCTGTACCACTGAAAATGTACACGTTCATTATTTTCACATTGACAGCCACTAGAGGGCACTGGTGCGACTTATAGTCCAGAAATACAAAAGCACAACCATTGGGCAATCCTAACGTAGTTTCCTCAGTAACCAGAGAGTGAAGGGAGCGTCTCTCACCACAGCATGGTTCTTCATGTAGCAGGGCTTACACACAGGCTTGTCCTTCTCCATCACGTACGTCTCTCCGGCGAGGATGCGATCGCAGTCGAAGCAGCAGAAGTGCTTCAGGTGCCAGTTCTGACCCTCGGCCTGAGTGTATTCGTTACTGAAGATCAGCTGTGGATGGACGCACGTTACGGTTAGACTCAGAATGAACAGAAAACAAAGACATCATTGAAGTCCGACTGATCGGGCGTCCTCACCTCGTCACATCCTCCGCAGCGCGGCTTCTCACTGTCTCCGTAGTGGCGTCCGCAGTAGAGCTTCCCTTTCTTCCAGAAGTAGATCATGTCCACCAGCAGCTCGTTGCAGGTGCAGCACACAAAGCATGCTGGGTGCCACAGTTTATCGTAGCCGGCCCTCTCGGCGTAGACGGCGGGCTCGCCCATACGCATCGGCTGCTGACAGTGACGGCACGACTGCAGACGGAGAGGGAACGGGTAAACATGAACATGACGTCACGACTGGTCGGTTTAATATGACAGAGCGTCCTGGTCTCTGGTCGAGAAACACTAGTTCATACAACAATAATACAACAAAGAGTTATGTCGTTTCAGAACTTCACACAAACGCTCTTTTATTTTCACTTCAAAGTCTCCTTTTGATCTGACAGAAGAGCATTTTATTATGGAGGCCATTTTGACAGCGGGCCTCAGGAAGTCCCAGGCTGGTGAACTGCTCAAAGGATCAGACACTTTCCTGAAATTGTGCAGAACGACTGCGTGGGTCACAACCTCACGACCCTCTTTGTACGAATGTTCTTAGGTTTAGATCACAGAATACTGCATAATCTGAGAGTCTAGTACTTCTTCAGAAGATACTCTGATCTGAACCAGGTATTTTTATAAAGAGTAGAAAACTGTTGGTGTTGAACCTTTACGTTCACACTCACACAGTATTCTTTCAGCTCATCATATTATGATGAGTCAGAAACAAAAATTAAAAAGTCAAATAAAAAACTGACAGCATAAATCTTAGATGCACATGTTAAAAGTAATAAAAATGCTAATCTGTGCCACATTAGCTAATGTAAATCATATTTTTATGCTTCAACACTGGTGGCAAAGACCACAAGTAAAGTTAGTGATATGGCGCCATCTAGTGTGTACTCTGAGTATAACACGCTTCCTTAAATGTTTACCACGGAGAAATTGAGATTTTTTTTTACTCGTAGTGAAGTTTCATTCAGTATAAAACAGGTGAAAAACAATCATCAATAACAGAGGATTAGAACTTACAAAGTTCTGCTGTGGGAGTCCAGACTGTTGACCTCCAGGGACGACCATGGCTCCAGCAGTAGCAGCAGTGCCAACAGCGCCTCCTACAGATGGACTAGTCCCCGCTCCTGCTCCTGCCAAAGCATTGTTACCTCCTGGTCCGAGTAAGCAGCACCCTGACCAACACCACCAGCTGTGGCTCCAGGTCCAGATCCTGCACAAGTCCCAGCTCTCTGACCACCTGCCCCGACACCAAAGCCTGCCCCTCCAGCCCCAGGTGCCCCTCCAGCCCCAGGTGCCCCTCCAGCCCCAGGCGCCCCCCCAGCCCCTCGCCCTCCCCCTGCCCTCCTGCCTTCACCAGGGCCATCTCCTCAGGAAGAAGAACATCTCCGACGCCCAGGGCCTCGTCCTTGTACTTGCGGACAAACTGCTGCATTAGTTTGACCTCAGCTGGACTGAGTTCATGACATTTGGACGGGTCCTGGTCGTGCTCCGGCAGCTGACGGTCCATCTGCTGCCGACGGTAAGCAGCTCCCTCTGTTCCGGCCACAGGGCGTTTCTCCGGCGGCAGCAGCTCGATGTAACGCACGGCCTGGAAGTCAGAGAGAAAAATCAACAGAATCCGCTCGGTTCAAACGTTCCGTGTCCGTGTGAAGGACGAGGATGAACAGACCGTCCGTGACAGACGCTGTGGTCCAATCAGAAGATCAGAAACCAAAAACACGGTGCTCCAGACACCTGAGCAGACTAAACAAGGACAGATGTGAGGCCTGTGAAAAGCAGGAAGTGGGAGAACGTTTTCATCCAAAGGCTTTTGGTTGAGTGGGTGTAAAACCAAATTTATACTTTGTTTTTTTCATTATTATTGTAAGAACTGAGAAATTAAGTCAATTCAAGTGACGAGCGTGAGGTCATAATGAAGGAACAAAAAGATAGAAAGAGGAAACTTTACTAAACTAAAAAAGACTTGATCATGTGACCATGTTCCCCATGAGGTCATAATGAAGGAAGACTTGATCATGTGACCATGTTCCCCCACTGAGGCTGTTCTGGACTGACTATTAAAGTTCACCAGAAAACACAAGCAGAGAGAGAGAGTAAGACAGAGAGAGTGAGAGAGAGAGAGAGTCACTGTTTAAAAAAACTTGGTGACATTTTTCTCAAAATTTAAAAACTCTCTTTTTTTGTTGAAACAGTTGTTGTCAAAACAAAGCCAACTTCAGCAGTGGAGACAGTGGAGTTTAGCCCTCAACCACCGGGGGTGCTGCTGCTGCTGCTGCACACACCCTAGCTGATTACAGCATAACATGTTGTCATGAACCTACCAGATATTTGTTAGCCACAGGGGGCGCCCACTCATAGGTGACGGACGTCATTGGTGAATCTTTGGAAACTGGCATCAGATTGGCCGCCGTGGCACTAGCAGGGACTGGAACTTTGGACGCCATCACTGGCGTACCACCTGCTGCTACAGGCTGACCCTGACCCTGACCCTGACGCTGACCCTGAGCCTGAGCCTGAGCCTGACCCTGAGCTCCACTAGGTGGTGCTCCTGCAGAGGCTGCAGCAGGCTGTACAGACGTGGCCATGGCAGAGGGAGGAACCACGGAGGCCGCAGCACTGGGTGGTAGGACGTAAGCGGGGGAAAGAGGGGGCAGAGTGATGGCCACCATGTTGCCCTGGTAGCTGGGGACGCCGTCAGTCTTCAACTTAGCCATGAGGGCGGTGTACTTGGTGTCCTCGAACAACTTGCCTACTTTCTTGTTCTCCTCAGAGTTCATCGCCACGTCGTGCTCTGCCAGGCCACATTTGCAGTTTCTGCAGATTTTTCTAGAGAGAAAGAATGAGAAGACATTCAGGGCTGTGTGACGTTAGGAAAGTTTTGCCCTGACCGCTGACCCTTGACCCCTGGCCCATTTTAAAAGCAGCATCAAACCATTACAGTTTGTTTAGCATTTTGGAGGAATTTCTGATCAGTTCACTTTACTGAGGCTAAGGTTTTAGTTGTGAAAGTAACTAAGGATTTTTTCATATAATTTTATAATCACTAAGTTATTTTATGTTTCAGTTACTTTGTAACTAAACTTTCTGATCTTTGGCTTTTTTTTTTTAACTTTTTTACTGTGTGTGTGTGTGTGTGTGTGTGTGTGTGTGATACTTATGCTTTACTGTCAGATTTCCTCCATGGTTGGTCTGCAGAGGTTAATAAACATCTATAATGTATTTAAACCCTGATAACTCTAGTTAGTTCTCTAGACAGAGACTTTAGATCAAAAATGCTGCTACAAAAATCCACAGGCGTCAACACAACTGACTTCATAGTTGAACAGTTTTATTGCAAAATCCAGGGCATGCTTCAACGTGACCTGGTCTCAGACTTCAAGGAACAAGTGAAGCCGAGTGAAAACCCTGTTTGAATTGTTTGGGTTGAAAAAATATAAACTGAGAAGTGAAAAGTGTAGAGTATTAGAAGTAATAGTAGTAGTAGTAGTAGTAGTACTGTAAACCCAAGTACTGTCACGGGTTGTGAGGTGCAGCTGCATGTGAAACAAAGACAGAGCAAAAGAAGCTGAACTAACAAAAGTGTTTTTTCTGTGGTGTGTGAAAAGACAGATAAATTACAGCGAGGCTACGTGAGAGAAAGAGATTTTTAAAAAAAGGACAAATTAATGCAGTACTGAGGCCGACTGATATAAAATGACGTCAATGTTAAAGTCACTCCAGGTATAAAAACAGTCCAACAGTAACTATTTATTATAAAAAACTAAACCCATGGATCTTGGTGCTGGGTCTGCAGTCAAACCAGAGCAACTGGAGGAATGTTCTCCAGAAAACTGTTCAAGTGTGGATAACAAAGTTGTCATGAATCACGGGTTCAAAGCCCAGACTGACACAGAGGGTCAGTAAGAAAGGAGCAGCTGGGGGGCTG